GCTTATGGGAGAAAAATACATATTTTAGGTAGATGTTTATGTTGGGTACAAGTACATCTTAGAATATACACACTACCACCATCACCACCACTACCACCCCACAACCACTACTGCTACCACACTGCCAACACACTGCCGACACCATGGCCAATAACCTCTCACAATCAGACCACCTCACAACCACACTCATCTCCACCATCGCCACCACTATCCCCCCAAACACCACCAACACCAACACTACCAACCACCATCAATTACCACCGCCACCACTCACACCAACACCATCATTACCACCACCACCACCACCACCACCCCAACACCACCACCACCCAACACCACCACCACCACCACCACCCCATAACCCCACAACCCCCTCCAGCACCATTACAACAACCCTCTCCAACACCACCATCACTACCCCCAACACCACCACCAACATCACCACCACCCCAATCACCACCACCAACATCACCACCACCCCAATCACCACCACCAACATCACCACCACCCCAATCACCACCTCCAACATCACCAGCACCCCTATCACCCCACAACCCCTTCCAACACCACCATCAATACCCCCAACACCACCACCATCACCACAACCCCTATCACCCCACAACCCCCTCCAACACCACCATCACTACCCCCAACACCACCACCCACTCTCCACTAGCCTCTGGTTCCCCACCAACAATCGAAAGCATTAGGAAAATTACCATGACCAAGATTCTGCTTCTTATCCCTTAATGACCAGCCAGAAAATAATTAAGAAATTTCGCCGAGGTTGTTCCCACGTAAAGTAATCGCTGTTTAAAGTTTAACATTAATGGTTTAGTGTTCATTGTGGTTTACAGTTCATTTGTCTTTGTTCACGGCACTTGTGCCTTTTTTTGGTACGGAGTTGGCTGCTAAGCCAGTGGAAGGTATACCTAGAGTATACCTGGAGTATACCTGGAGGGTTGGTTTAGAAAGACACGTAAGCAAACACTATAACATATTTATTAGAAAACGTTTCGGTCCTGGGACCAGGACCGAAACGTTTTCTAATAAATATGTTATAGTGTTTGCTTACGTGTCTTTCTAAACCAACATGTCGGTATTTATTACCAAGGTTTATACCACCTGGAGGGTGTTCCGGGGATCCAGGCGGTCAGGCTGAACTTCCATAACAGTCTACAGTTATTTCCTTGCTACCATCGCTTGATCAACGAGCCCTATAACAAACACACCAGGTCCAGGACCAGGTCTCCCGGTGGACCAGAGTTCGGCCAAGTGACCAAAACCACACCTGAGAGTTCATCTTGTAACTAACTCAAGTATATAGAGAAATTTATTCATTGCTCCTTACAAAAATATCCTGACATTCAACCTCCTTTTAACGGTACGTGAGCATAATATTGTGTCACTGAGACAATGTTATTAAGAGTTAGATTTTAGCCACCAAAGTGGCTAGTATATTGTGCAACCCATGTCCATCCTGTGGAGGATAGCGCAAGAGCATATGGATACACGAAAGGCCTAGGAACTAGGCCTATGTTGCTGTTTATTTGCCCAGTAGAAATATCTTAAATGTCTTTCATTTTCATCAGCGGCATTTTGTAGTCTCTTATGGTACACAAAGCTACCTGGAGTGAGTTCCAGGGGTCAGTCCCCCGCGGGCAGGTGCTTGACCAGGTTTCCCGGTGGATCAGGGCCTAATCAATAGCCCTACGTACGAACCACAGCCCGGCTGATCAGGTACTGACTTAAGGTATCTGTCCAGCTCCCTCAGTGTTTCCAATCTGAAAACACTATTATTTAATACTTTTTGCAACTTTGTCTCTGTTAAAGCTATGGTATCTATGAAATTTTCTGCTATCCTTGCCTTCATTTCTCTGTATTTATGAGAAAATTTTGTCTACACTCGAATGTACTGTGTCCAGATTTCCATTTAATGTTTCTGGTGCTTTTTTACCGATAATGGTTTGAAGTGTGACAAGGAGAGTGGTGTTAAACTGATGTGGGGAAGTATGTTAGGATGCAGGGAAAAAAGGAACAGGCAAACCATGAGTTCCAGGATGATTTTCCTCGTAGCCATCATTCGAGTATGATGTACAAGAATGGTATACAATACCGACAAGATGAAATTAAGACACATGTGCAACATCTGGGTATCTTTATTGTTGACGTTTCGTCATCCAGTGGCTTTATCAATACAAATTCCAGGACCTTGGAGTAGGTGCGAAGAGCACCGTGGTCGTGGAGATTCTGAAGCAGAAGCAAGGCGCCTGGCGCTTATATACTAACGTCAGGTGGAATGGGACGTGTAGCAGACAAGGGCATAGTCACTGGTGGGTGGGATTCCCCAGTGGAAGTAGGTCCTACATGTACATAACCTTCACGACTACAACAACTACTTCTACAACTAACCCATCTTTTTGGGTAGGACCTACTTCCACTGGGGAATCCCACCTACCAGTGACTATGCCCTAGTCTGCTAAACGTCCCATTCCACCTGACGTTAGTATATAAGCGCCAGGCGCCTTGCTTCTGCTTCAGAATCTCCACGACTACGGTGCTCTTCGCACCAGCTCCAAGGTTGAGGGACTGATTACCTCATCTTCTGTACATAGTTCTACTGTCTTCAAGTTATGTCCTGGAATTTGTATTGATAAAGCCACTGGATGGCGAAACGTCTACAATAAAGATACCCAGATGTTGCACATGTGTCTTAATTTCATTCGAGCATGATGCTGTAGCATAAATCCCCGGGCCCTGATGAACGTTTTCCAGGGATTCTTAAGGAGTGCAAGATTGAACTTTGATGTCATTATTGATATGCGGATGATGGCTAATGTAATTCTTAATAGTATTAATTACATTCGCAGTGAGATAGGAGTGGCCTGGTATGGGTTAGCTGATACAGAGTTTGTATAGAGGGTGGAGGGGGGTTGAAGGAAGAGGGGGATTGGGAAGGATTACGTTTAGGTGAAGGAGGTGGAATTGGTAGAGAGGGGAGTAAAAGAGGGTTAAAAGAGATGAGAGATTGGTCGGAGATGGAGAGAGGGAGTGAGGGCAAAGAGATTCCTGAGGAATCGCAACAGGAAAAAACAGGAGAAGAACGGGAAGTGAGAAAGAGATAAGCGAAATGTAGAGTTGCAGTGGAAAGATTAATAACACATTGAGACTTACGTATCGTGTGAGAGAGAGCGAGAGAGAGACAGACAGAGAGAGAATGTTATGCTAGATGGCACGCACCACACTGAGATATTGAGGTCGATCCATCATAACCAAAGGGGATTTTTCCCCTCTAACCTACATAATCTCTGCCATTTATATCAATGGAGCCACACCTGGAGTGCCATTTGACCCAATAATGTTCGTGTGTCATCGATAATATCACAGTTTTACACATACACACACACACACACACACACACACACACACACACACACACACACACTATGAGAAGATACAAAGAGAACTGAACCTGGCAACCCTGGAGAGGAAGCAGACTTGAAGAGATATAATAACGACATATAAAATACCCAGAGGAATTGAATATGCTGGGACATACTGTTGAAAATGCGAGAACCAGGAATTAAGACACAGATGGAAAAGACGGGGATGTTAGGAAGTATTTTTTTATTTCGCAGGAAAGCTAATGTAGGAAGCTAATGTAGGAAGCTAATGTAGGAAGCTAATGTAGGAAGCTAATGTAGGAAGTTAATGTAGAAAGAAAATAATTGTAGGAGAAGCTCATAGAGGAAGTGAGGAAGCGAAAGAGAGAGGGAAAAATGGGAAATGAAACCGAGACAAAGGAAGATGGGTAGAGAGATAGAGGAAAAAAAGAAGGGAGGAGAAGAGACGTAAGAGAGAAACTCAGAATTAGCTACATACCAACAAGACACATTCCCTGGTGAGTTCTAAACCCTTCGGGGCCACACAGCGCTTCTGGAATGGGATTCGATAATATTTTGTCTCTTACATATATACATACTGTCCAGCCATACATACCTGTGAGCCACTGTCACGTATTTTGCAGATCTGAAAATCTACATACAGACGTGAAAAATACCCAGAATTCACTACGTGGATGTGACTACGGGAGACTGGAGAAGGGAGACTGGAGAAGGGAGACTGGAGAAGGGAGACTGGAGAAGGGAGACTGGAGAAGGGAGACTGGAAAAGGGATGGAAGGGAGACTGGAGAAGGGAGATGGAGAAGGGAGCTGGAGAAGGGAGACTGGAGAAGGAGACTGGAGAAGGGAGACTGGAGAAGGGAGACTGGAGAAGGGAGACTGGAGAAGGGAGACTGGAGAAGGGAGACTGGAGAAGGGAGACTGGAGAAGGGAGACTGGAGAAGGGAGACTGGAGAAGGGAGACTGGAGAGAGGGAGAGAAGAGTGGAGAAGGGAGACTGGAGAAGAGAGACTGGAGAAGGGAGACTGGAGAAAGGGAGACTGGAGGAGGGAGACTGGAGAAGGGAGACTGGAAGAAGGGAGACTGGAGGAGGAGAGAACTGGAGAAGGGAAACTGGAGAAGGGAGACTGGAGAAGGGAGACTGGAGAAGGGAGACTGGAGGAGGGAGACTGGAGAAGGGAGACTAGAGGAGGGAGACTGGAGAAGGGAGACTGGAGGAGGGAGACTGGAGAAGGGAGACTAGAGGAGGGAGACTGGAGAAGGGAGACTGGAGGAGGGAGACTGGAGAAGGGAGGACTAGAGGAGGGAGACTGGAGAAGGGAGACTAGAGGAGGGAGACTGGAGAAGGGAGACTGGAGGAGGGAGACTGGAGAAGGGAGACTAGAGGAGGGAGACTGGAGAAGGGAGACTGGAGGAAACTGGAGAACAATAAAAGAATAACGAAAAGTCTTTCAATAGAAGCAATAAAGAAACTCTAAATAAAAACAATAAGAATGCTTGAGATGAGCTGATGAAGATAACAGCTCTTAACTTGTAAATAAAGTTAGGAACCCTTAACCTAACTTTAAACCCTGTGTTAAAAAAAAAAGAAACCTACCTTGAATCCCTTCAAGTTGTCAACAGAGCATGGTAGGATGACGTCTCTCCCCACCACCACAGTCTTGTTGGGGATGGGCTCCAGGAAGTGTGGCAGGGGTTCCTCCGCCCCTGCTGGGAGACACAGAGAACATCAGTGACCCTGTAAACAATGTGTGGCAGGGGATAAGAACATAAGAACATAAGAAAGAAGGAACACTGCAACAGGCCTACTGACCCATACGGAGCAGGTTATGTCCCCCCCCGGGATTAGCCTAATGACCCACTCAGTCTGGTCACCTCCACGCAAGGAAGGAGCACGGCACCAGACCCAGCAGCACAAGTTAGTCAGGTCCAACTCACTCCCACCCACACCCACTCATGTACTTATCTAACCTATTTTTAAAACTACACAACGTTTTAGCCTCAATAACTGTACTCGGGAGTTTGTTCCACTCATCCACAACTCTATTACCAAACCAGTGCTTTCCTATATCCTTCCTGAATCTGAATTTTTCCAACTTGAAACCATTGCTGCGAGTCCTGTCTTGACTGGAAATTTTCAGCACGCTATTTACATCCCCTTTATTTATTTCTGTTTTCCATTTATACACCTCAATCATATCTCCCCTAATTCTATGCCTTTCGAGAGAGTGCAGATTCAGGGCCTCAGTCTATCCTCATAGGGAAGATTTCTGATACATGGGATCATCTTTGTCATCCTCCTTTGTACGTTTTCCAGAGCATTTATATCCATTCTGTAATACGGTGACCAGAACTGAGCAGCATAGTCTAAATGAGGCCTAACCAAGGATATACAGAGTTGAAGAACAACCTGAGGACTTCTATTATTTATACTTCTAGATATGAAGCCAAGAATTCTGTTAGCTTTATTGCGAACACTAATGCACTGTTGTCTTGGTTTTAGATTTCTGCTAACCATAACTCCTAAATCCTTTTCGCAATCAGTAATATTAAGATCTACATTATTTAGTTTATATGTGGCATGGTTATTTTCCTGTCCAACATTTAGAACTTTGCATTCGTCAATATTAAACTGCATCTGCCACTTCTCCGACCATTGCATCAGTCTATTTAAATCATCCTGGAGTGCTCTAGTGTCCTCATTAGAATGAATTGGACGGCCTATTTTGGTGTTATCAGCAAATTTGCTTATGTCGCTATTTATTCCCTCATCAATGTCGTTTATGTAAATTGTGAACAACAAGGGGCCTAACACTGACCCCTGAGGAACACCGCTTGTGACGTGCCCCCATTCTGATTTCTCCCCATTTATGCAAACTCTCTGCTGCCTATTTGTCAGCCATGCCTCTACCCAGGAAAAAATTTGCCTTCCTATTCCGTGTGCCTTAAGTTTCCTCAATAGCCTCTGGTGTGGAACTCTATCGAAAGCCTTACTGAAGTCCATATACACAATATCATATTCATTACCATGATTTACCTCCTCAGACACCTTAGTGAAAAATGTTAGTAAATTCGTAAGACAGGAATGCCCCTTTGTAAAACCGTGTTGAGATTCATTAATCAATCTGTGCCTGTCAAGATGGCTACGAATTGCTTCGGCAATTATTGATTCCACAAATTTTTCCCACTATGGAAGTAAGACTTATTGGTCTATTGTTCGAAGCCAACGACCTGTCACCTGCCTTGTAAATAGGTATTACATTTGCCATTTTCCACTTATCAGGCACTATGCCGTTTGTAGTGATATGTTAAAAAGATTAGCCAAAGGTATGCTAAGTTCCTCTTTACATTCCTTTAACACCCTTGCAAACAGTTCATCAGGGCCTAGAGATTTGTTAGGTTTTAGTTTCTCTATTTGTCTGAAGACCATGTCACTAGTTACCGCAACCGTGCATAGTTTATTATCGTCCTGTTCTACATAATCTGTTATTTCAGGAATATCGCTAGTATTTTCCTGGGTGAAAACTGAGAGGAAGTAGGTATTTAGAATTTCACACATATCCTTATCACTGTCAGTGATCTGACCAGAGTTACTCTTAAGTGGGCAAATCTTGTCCCTAATCTTACTTCTGAATACCTGAAAGAACCCTTTTGGGTTAGTCTTTGATTCCCTTGCTACCTTAGCTTCATAATCCCTTTTTGCTTTTTCTTATTCCTTTCTTTATTTCTCTCTTTAATTGAATATATTGATTTCTTAACTGCCCTTCCCCTCTTTTGATAAGCCTATATATGCCTTTCTTTTGACCAATGGGATACTCTATGCCTGCTGGGGTAGACAGAAAATATCAGTGACCCTGTACACAATATGTGGCAGGGAATACTCTATGCCTGCTGGGGTAGACAGAAAATATCAGTGACCCTGTACACAATGTGTGGCAGGAGATACTCTATGCCTGCTGGGGTAGACAGAAAATATCAGTGACCCTGTACACAATATGTGGCAGGGAATACTCTATGCCTGCTGGGGTAGACAGAAAATATCAGTGACCCTGTACACAATGTGTGGCAGGAGATACTCTATGCCTGCTGGGGTAGACAGAAAATATCAGTGACCCTATAAACAATGGCCAGCCCTGTTCAGTGATGTCTTTTATGCTGTTCCACACTGTTCCACCTCTGGCTAGCCCCGTCACGTTGAGCTATCTTTACGTATTACCTTTCCACAAAGATATATCTCTCTTCTTACCAAGAAAATGGAGGGTAAAAAAAAAAGGCCCATTCCCGTTTCCGATGGAAGGGTGATGGAGGGGGAGGGAGGATGGAGGGAGAGGGAGGATGGAGGGAGGGTGAGGAAGGAATCATGACGGAGGGAGAGAGAGAAGTTGCGAATGGAAGGATGAGAAATAGAAGGAAAGTGAAGGAAAAAAATGTCAGTTCCTTATTTCTCTCTCTCTCTCACACACACACACACACACACACACACACACACACACACACACACACACACACACACACACACACACATACACACATACACACACATACACACATACACTTTTTCCCCACCCCATTTCCCAGAGAGACCCTCAAGGAGAGAGAGAGAGAGAGAGAGAGAGAGAGAGAGAGAGAGAGAGAGAGCGGAAGGAGGAAATTTTCCACGAATGATTTCTTGTATACAATCCTTCTTATCTGCCCTACAGCGGTCCACTTTCTTCTGTGGTGTATAAATTTATTCTTTCTGCTGTATTATTATTGTATGACTGCTGTATAGTTGTTGTATAATTGCTGTATGACTCTTGCATGACTGTTGTATGACTTTTTGCGAGGGAGCTTATGACCGTCTTAAGTATGTGCATGATACATTGTCTCTGTTCTAGCATACCTGTGTCTGTCCCTCTGTGTCTGTCTCTCTGTGTCTGTCCCTCTGTGTCTGTCCCTCTGTGTCTGTCGCTCTGTGTCTGTCCCTCTGTGTCTGTCTCTCTGTGTCTGTCCCTCTGTGTCTGTCTCTCTGTGTCTGTCCCTGCTGTTGTCTGTGCTTCTCTGTGTCTGTCCTCTGTGTCTGTCTCTCTGTGTCGTCCCTCTGTGTCTGTCTCTCTGTGTCTGTCCCTCTGTGTCTGTCTCTCTGTGTCTGTCCCTCTGTGTCTGTCTCTCTGTGTCTGTCCCTCTGTGTCTGTCCCTCTGTGTCTGTCCTCTGTGTCTGTCTCTGTGTCTGTCTCCTCTGTGTCTGTCTCTCTGTGTCTGTCCCTCTGTGTCTGTCTCTCTGTGTCTGTCCCTCTGTGTCTGTCTCTCTGTGTCTGTCCCTCTGTGTCTGCTCTCTCTGTGTCTGTCCTCTGTGTCTGTCTCTTGTGTCTGTCCCTCTGTGTCTGTCCTCTGTGTCTGTCTCTGTGTCTGTCCTCTGTGTCTGTCTCTCTGTGTCTGTCCCTCTGTGTCTGTCTCTCTGTGTCTGTCCCTCTGTGTCTGTCTCTCTGTGTCTGTCCCTCTGTGTCTGTCTCTCTGTGTCTGTCCCTCTGTGTCTGTCCTCTGTGTCTGTCTCTCTGTGTCTGTCCTCTGTGTCTGTCTCTCTGTGTCTGTCCCTCTGTGTCTGTCTCTCTGTGTCTGTCCTCTCTGTGTCTGTCTCTCTGTGTCTGTCTCTCTGTGTCTGTCTCTCTGTGTCTGTCCTCTTCTGTGTCTGTCCCTCTGTGTCTGTCTCTCTGTGTCTGTCCTCTCTGTTGTCTGTCGTCTCTCGTGTCTGTCCCTCTGTGTCTGTCCCTCTGTGTCTGTCTCCTCTGTGTCTGTCCCTCTGTGTCTGTCTCTCTGTGTCTGTCCCTCTGTGTCTGTCTCTCTGTTGTCTGTCTCTCTGTGTCTGTTCTCTGTGTCTCTCTGTGTCTGTCTCTCTGTGTCTGTCCCTCTGTGTCTGTCCCTCTGTGTCTGTCCCTCTGTGCCTGTCTCTGTGTGTCTGTCTTTGTGTTTAACTGTGTCTATCTGTGTGTGTGTCTGCATATTTATGTCTCTCTCTGTACTCATTTATTTGTGTTTGCAGGGGGTTGAGTCACAGCTCCTGGCCCTGCCTCCTCGCTGGACGTTACTAGGTCCAGTCTCTCTCCCTGCTCCAAGAGCCTTATCGTACCTCTTAATATGTGTGTATTTTTTTACACAGGGTTTGGCAAGGTTAGGGAGAGGATCCCTACCTTTATTGACAAGCTATTTACAGGTTAAGGATTCCTAACTTTACTGACACGCTAAGAGCTGTTACCTACATCAGCTCATTTGAAAGCATTTTTATTGTTATGAGACATACAAGTAGGGAACAGGATAAAGTTGGAGCCATCTGTGGGCCAGCATTTTCATTTGATCAACTGACTTTATCTCGTTGACATCATTATGCTGTACGAATGTGTTCCATACTCGAGTCATCCTGGGTATATATGATCTCAGATGAAGTGATGTCCTGGAGAAGGGTACAGCCAGAGTGAAGTTGCTGCTTTCTGCCCGTCTTGTGGTATAGAAACTTGCTTCACGCTGTCCTAGAAGTGGATCCAAGTGTGGTACTTTGACATTATTGGTTTTGTACATAACAGTAAGGCCACCCACATCCTTCCTGTGTTGAAGGCTCTGATGAAATGACAGATCTATCCAGGATGGGTCCAGGCGAGAGATGAGACGTCTTGCTCTGTTCTCTACTCTGTCAAGCAGTCGCAGATGAGAGGGGGGCAGGCAAGCCAAGAAAG